TTTAATATACAGTCTACAGTTAAATCAGCTTTCAGTTTGTACTGATTTAGTTTAATACTGTAATACTAGTTACAGTATTAAACTAGTAGTTACAGTTACAGAAGCAAGTCTAAAGAGGAACACGGGTGCACTGCACCACATTTACCTCAAAGCTTTAGTAACTTTATTTTTCATGAGACTTATTGGTTATAGTAACTAAATTACACTAATATTTAAAAAAATCTAAAAATAAAAAGCTTGTTTTTTTTGTAGGCAGGGAAAATATTCCTGGGGGAAGAAAACGGTAAGCCTCTGACACTGTTAGCCGCAGGTCTGCAACCAAAGAACTGCACATGATTTCTTGAGTGTTTCTTACAGATTTTTACTCCCTGAAACCAGAAAAATATTTTTTAAATTCTCGTCAGATTTTCTCGCAGGTTTCTAGTTTAACTAAGTGTACAGTTTCCCTTTTTAAGCTGAAATCTGTGTTCAGAGGAGCATCAATAGAAGAAGAAAAGGTTTCACAGACAAAAAGGGTAAACATGAAGTTTTTTGATTCTTTGTTCAATTATAAGAAACATGCATACTTAATTGTAAAAAAAAAAAAAACAAAGATTTTTTTTCATTGCTGTTGTGCTTTATTAAATGGAAACTCTTCATGTTTGCTAAAAAAAAACCCTGTACGTGATGGAGGGAAATGGAGATTTTTTGGATTCAGCGCCCTAAAAAACACCAAATTTACCAAAAAGATCCCACGCAGCTGCAAAATGTTGTTGCAGAGCTGTGACACCATCATGTCTGCTTTCTGCAGCATTAAATGTTTCATCCAAGCACGGCACAGACCTCAGCACACACACACATACACACTCCTCGTGCCTATGGTACACTGCGCAAAAATACCTTGCCACACACACACACACACAAGTTCATGCAGGAAATGCAAAACTGTCACAACTCTTGTTTTTCCTGCATAAGCAGAAGAAAACTGCTTTTTTCTGTTTTGAATATTTCCCAGTCGTCTTTAATAAGACAAAAGTGTTTCTTATCCGATCACTTGATTCATCGATGGACTCACAGATAGCTGAAGCATTAATGTCCACTCGTTTTTCTTACGGTGGAAAAATGGAAACACGTTTAAATGTCAACATTTCTTCTGAGTTATTGTTCGAAGCACTGAAATGTTTTCTTCCACCTTAAGCTTGAAAAGTGAAGTGAAATCGCTCCTTGACTAAGAAAAA